AGGAAAAATCCAAATTGTGGAACATTTTATGAAATGACTAGCCTGAATTCTTCAAAAATGCTCAATATCATGAAAGAAAAAAAAAAGGTGAACTGTTGAAGATAAAAGGAAACTAAATTCAATGAATGATTATTGATTGGATCCTGGATTTTAAAAAATCAGTATAAAGAACAATATTGGGGCAACCTGGCAAAATCTGTGTATGAACTGTATTTTGTTAAACTATCAACAAATTATTTTTAATTGTGACAATGTTATTGTGGTACGTAGAAGAATAATGTCTTTTTTCTGAAGAGATACATCACGAAGAATTTAGAGATGATATGTTGTCTGCACCTTACTTTTAAATGAAGGGAAAAATATATGTGACAAAATGTTAACTAGTAAATTTAAGAGAAGAGTAAACGAGTGTTTATTTTCAACCCTGTCTTTCTTTTAAAGATTGGCACCTGAGCTAACATCTGTTGCCAATCTTCTTTTTTTCTTCTTCTCCTCCCCAAAGCTCCTCAGTACATAGTTGTGTATTCTAGTTGTAGGTCCTTCTGGCTCTGCTGCGTGGGATGCTGCCTCAACATGGCTGGATGAGCGGTGCTAGATCTGTGCCCAGGATCCGAACCAGCAAAACCCTGGGCTGCCAAAGCAGAGCACGTGAACTTAACTGCTTGGCCACGGGGCTGGCCCCAACCTTTTTTTTAACAATAAAAATTTAGAGAAAATTCCAGTGAATAGAAAAGACTTTATCAGCGAACTTTAGATAAGGAGAAAATCTATTAAGTTATATTATTACCACATGTCACTGTTGGCAGGCTTTGTTCACAAAGTCAAGCATCATGTGCTTCCTACTTCCTGAACTTCTTGTTAAATTGACAACTGGAGACACTGATGCTTCTCCTCAGGTTTCCAGAGCTGCCATAAAATCCAGCATTCAATTTCCTCAGCCTAGATCTACCGCCACTAGGGTCCAAGGCACAGATGTAATCATGTCTGTATTTGTGTGCTATCAATTAAATCACAACTCATAATCTAATATTTTTTCAATTTGGTTATTTATCTTCATTACCCATGTGGGTTTCATATTTATCTTCCAAAGAAATCCACTGTAATAACTGTACAACTTTTTCCCGTTTTTGAGAATTTATGGGAGATTACTGTAACATTAAAAAGTCCATTTAAAAATAACTCAAGTGCTCAGTGTAATTTTTAGATGGGAGTAAACATCAACTCAAGCAGCTCTTGAGTAGTCCCAGTAAATACCCACTAACAGTTTCAAAGACATTATCAACTGAAAACCAGAAGGGAATGGGACGTACCGGCTTTGGTCTGTATTCAGAATCATCTAAACAATCAAACTAACCATTGTTTTTTGAGCTTTCCCAGGAGCAAGCCTTTTTGGCACACACCAAAACAGGTATTACAATCCTTACCCTTCTAGTCCTTCAGTCTGGCTGGAAAGGTAACAGTTATACTTGTAAAAATATATAAGCAAAACACTGAAACAAATCTAAATGTTGAAGAATTAGAAGGTTAAATTGACCATTAGTTACCATGCTATAGAAAAATGTATTGGAAAACAATGATATACTCAGTGAAAAAAAGTGGTACCAATGCAATTTTGTTTCTTAAAAACATATATACCATCTTATTGCAATTTTGTTTTATTACAGCAACATACATGTATGTAGGGAACAGGAAAAAAAATACCAGAAACATATACCCCAACTGTATAACAATGGTTATCTGGGAGTGGTAGCATTTGTGATTATATTCTTCCTTATGATTTCTATATCCAATATTTTTGCAACACTTTTATAATCAGAGCACAAATATTTTAAAGAAGTCATTTAAAAACATAATTAAAAATAGAGAGCAGTATACGCTAAGCAGCAAACTGTCTCAATGGTTAGTTCTGTAAGACCAACTTCACAGGGCTGCAGTGCTCAAGGAGGCCTTCCTAGAAGAGGCAGAGCTCCCATACAATGCACTGCACAGTGCCCTGTACCTGACACAGGAAGAGCTCGATACACAGTCACTCTGATTCTAGCACTTAATCTTCACCTATCCCATTAGGTAGACACCTCCTTTTTGGAGTTGAGGAAACTGAGACTTAGAAAACTTTACTTAATTTTATAAGGTTCACAAAGCTAGTAAGCGGTCGAACCAGAATTGAAGCTCAAGTAGTCTAACTCAATCTTTACTCATACCAAGTAACTAGCAATTGCTGGCAGATTATAAACTCCCTCTTTAGGTCTCCAGGTAACATGAGAGCAGCAATCTAATCAGTCTTGTTCCACTGTGAACCCAGGGTGTAATAAAGTATATAACACAGTACATAGCACACAGCTGCTATCAAAGAAAAACTTAGTATGTTAATGAAAGATCACTTTTTTGTCACTATGGTTTACAACCAAAAACTGGATAACTTAAATCTGGGGTTCAGACTCAGTCAATAAAGGCAATAGCTTGGTATCTACAATCAAAATGGTGGTACAAAAATTTTTAAATTAAGATACTATAAAAAAGTAAGTTAAATATTTTAAAAGGTCATTAAAACATTTTTGTGTTGATACTAAATTTCAGGACTACTGGTGGAGTATTTGTTTTTTTGACGAAGAAAATTTATATCACAGGATCCCTTAGCATAAGACAGATACTATAAAAATGAGAGCCATCTAGGTTATTCTCTTTCTTTTTGGATTTGTCATACTTACCCCAAAAGGCAAAAATTCATTCAAAAACAACAAATGGGAGCCCCTTTATGCTAGTTCTACAGAAATAAATTATAGTATCGGCAGCACCTCTAGAATAATGAGAGAGATGGAAACAACCCAGAAACAGTTGGGCATTTATTAACTATGTAAATTAAGATATTACAAAAGCAAAGAACAATAGTGAATTTTTCAGCCAAGGCATGAGGTTACCTAGGAAGTTAGTTCTACCAGAGTAACAACAGATATAAAGAGTGCTATGTTAAAAACCAAAGTTAAGGTGGAAAGTATATCATTTTTTGAAGAAAACTTGCTTGTATTGCCTTATTGTATGGGATGTAAGTAGGTTTTTTTTTTTAAACTGAAATTTAAACTCATACTCATTGAAATATCTGTGCAACTTAGTTATATTTTATCATTTTGCAGTTTATTTACTTGAAATAAAACTCTAAATAAAATCATTAAGTAAAGCTTAAGATGGCAAGATATCATAGTGTAGAAGTACATTTATAATTATGTATTTAATTATACAAATAATACATCTGTACAGTAATATATTCAGTGTATTAAAAATTAAAATAAATGTGAAAGACCCCAGACTCCTCTCTGCCACAACCAGTGGTAACTAGTAAAATCACATTAATAGTTTCTTATATATCTCTCCTGAAATATTCTAGGTGCATAATGTAAGCATCTGCCATGTCACCTCACCCTCAGATATGTTATCTATTATTCGTTTGTTTTTTTCCACTTAGCAATATATCCTGAACATCATTCTGAATACCCTGTACAGTTATTTCTTGTTCTTTACAATAGCTGCATAATACTCCATTAAACTTCATTCACCTTTTAATAGACATTTAGATTGTTTCAACTTATTAGCTACTAGAAACAATTCTGCAGTATCTTTGTATATTCACCTCTGTGTACATCCATAGGCTGCTTGCCTAGAAGTAGATTTTTAGAATTAAATGGAATATGCAGTTAACATTTTGAAAAGAGACTGCCAACATGCTCTCCAAAATAAGATTGTACAAATTTATACTCAGATGTTTTCTTTACTGGGCTAGGTCAATGTGCTATTAGTGTTTTTATGAAATATAATTATGAAAGAATGTATTTAGTATATAACTTTTGAAACATCAAACAATGTATTAGCAATCCAAAGAGATCATCTGCCATTAATCACTCCTATTTCTTTATAACTAAAGCAATTAAGAGTATGGGGCTTTGAAGACAGACAAACGTGGGTTCAAGTCCCACCTTTGGCACTTAGGACCTATGTGATTTCGAGCAGGTTATTTAGTCCTTTTAAGCCTTGATTTATGTCTTTGCAAAATGAGGAACATAATAGTGCCTACCTAATAGAATTACTATGAAGCATAGTATACAAAGTGTTTATTGAAGAGCCTGACAAAGTATGGTTGCATGATAACATACTGTATGACTTAAATGATTAACATATAACAAAAGCCGTATCTACTTATATTTTCTCAAAACAGTGAACACTAAAAATCTCCAACAATGAACTGATTTTTATTTTCTCTGAGTCTCTCAATTCATAAGAATATAAAATCTCCATCTGAACCTCTCACAATCATGAAGCACTGATTTGTGGGCAGAGTTTAGTATGGAACATAATTCATTCAGGCTCAAAGAAGCTTAGAGAATATAAAGTTCTAATTAAAGAAGAGAACTTCAATAATAAGGAGATTTGGGTTTAGGTTTATCAGATTGCAACGTAATCACGAATTCCTCTCCCTATGATAAAACAGAAGAACTTCTAAGACAGCATTTTAATAATGATGGCTGGTAGTTTATAAACACTATTGAGAATGGCTATAAAAAGCAAGTGTAAACTTTAATGTTGCAGCTGATTTCAAGCATTCCTTTTAATGGATTCTACGTACTGAAACTGCTTAAAGGTATGATCACCTGAGATCTCCTCTATATATAGGGAATTGTAACATATTCAATTTGAGACATCAAAAAACATTTAAAATAGACACCACAAAATGTATCTGCAGTTTAAAGGTCAAATTTATTAGGAGATTAAGAGATGTATTATACATGGACTATAAATACTGCACAGCTGACTTTATTCCCAGTCAAGCACAGAGATATAGTCAGTGCCAACCTATTTTGTGGATACTCTTGTTCTTTTGTTCCAAGAAAAGTTTGCGCCATAAGACTTGGACTTGGGTTTCGGAACCTTCCTCTCTTCAACGTCATAGCTCCATCCTAGAAAACAAAAACAAAAACAAAAACAAAAACAAGCCTACAGGAACAGAATTAAAGAGAATACCTGAAGAATACAGCAAGCAGAGGCTAACTTTCATAAATTTAATATTCATTTATCATCAGGAGTACATGTCAACACATCTGAAATATAAATACTTACTTAGTAATTTGTTCCCTTATAATCCTGTGTGACAAGAGGGTCCAAAACATTGCCTGAAGATGATTTACTTTATCTCAAATTAAGGGTGTGACCCATGATTCAATTTCTTCTTGCTCAGTATTCTTTGTTCAATTACCAGTGGTTATGTATAATGTAAAATTCTCCATTCCGTGTTGTTTAATATGTGACTTCTTGAATAACTGCAATGAGGAGCATTGAATAATATAACCTGTCTCACTGTATTCTAAAAGCTGGTCCATTTACAGCAGTTTGGAGCTCACTCGAAGCAATACAGAAAAACAAGTACATACTTATCTATAGAAAACACAAAGTTGAGATTACTTGGTTAAATTCCCTGGATTTTGTTGGGCTACTGATTAACTCAGAAAGTTTTCCTACATTTGCTTCAAGGGCTATCTACATTAGAATCCCATGGAAGTACTGATAATAATGAAAATTCTTATGCCTGCCCAAAGGCCACATGAGAATCTCTGGTGGGGCCTGGGAATCTGCACTTTAACTATTGATCCCAGGAGATTTTTATGCAGAGGTTTGAGAACCACTGGTCTAAAATATCTATTCTCTTCTAAGAGTTTCTCTTTTCTCAAAAGCCCTTTTCATGTTTTATAATTTTGAACACTGGATTTATTTATGTCTATTTCTTCTGCTTTAATTTAAGTCCAGCTCTTTAGTTCTAAAATATGGAGAAGAACCAAATCAACATCCTTAAAAATATAATTGTCACCTTTGTATTCCCTAGACCAAGCAACCTCTATAATTTTCACTTTTCTTCATACGATCCTTTTTCCATTCCTGTAATTGATCATTCTTCTCTCTCAGAACATTCTTCAAATAACTCATCTTGAAACATCTGATTCGTAGCTGATCATGCAGTCATGTGTAAAATGTCCAAACTGAATATTATATAGTTGTCTAAGTGAGCTTCTTGATCCTGTGAGTTAGCACGAATTCTACTACCTCTTGGTGAGTACAGTATTTGTTGTCACAAAGCTTACATTTGAATTTGTTTTTGCCAGTGCCCTCGAGGCAATTTCAACTCCTAGTTACCCTGTGCACAGCAGAGCGGAACCCCGCCTGGTCTTTCTGCGCCATCCTCTCACCTTCCAGCACTACATCAGACAATGTTCCACTGCTACTCATAGGGTTTGTGTGGCCAATTTTTTCAGAAGTGGGTGGACTCCAGAAGCTCCGCTGAAACCTGTTCACCATGGGTGACCCCGCTGTTATTTGAAATACCAGTGTCATAGCTTTCAGCATCACAGCAACACACAGCAGCCACACACAGTATGATGGGTGATGTGGTTCCCTGAACTGGAAATGAACGTGGACCACCAAGGCTGCTTTACATTTCAACAGCCCCTTACTTAGAATTCAATTTTGCCACAAAAGTGAACCCTAAGAAACTCAAGTCATCAAAGTATACTGCTACTATTGCCTATTTCAGTGTCCAAAAGGGGGAATTAGCAATTCCACTGCTAGAACTCCACCTTTAAAGAAAGTCCATTTGCCATAAAAGGAAATGGAGGGCCCGCCCAGCGGCAGCGGCAGTTAAGTGCACACGTTCCGCTTCTCTGTGGCCCGGGGTTTGCTGGTTCAGATCCCGGGTGCGCACATGGCACCGCTTGGCAAAAGCCATGCTGTGGTAGGCGTCCCACGTATAAACTAGAGGAAGATGGGCATGGATGTTAGCTCAGAGCCAGGTCTTCTCAGCAAAAAGAGGAGGACTGGCAGTAGTTAGCTGAGGGCTAATCTTCCTCAAAAAAAAGAGGAAACGGAGAAGCAGAAAAGCAAAGGAAATAAATGGTTTAAAATTCAAATGAAACATCAGAAGCGAGGAGAGAAAATGCTGATTCAATTCACTTGCTTAACATAACCTTACTTTCACAGAGCAGAGAAAATGTTTTGAGAACTTTCCTACCCATTAAAACAAAAAAAATCACAAATATCTTACTTTAAGAGGACATAAAGTAAAAAATAAGTACATTAACAAGTGGTTATTTGCATTTCAAAAAATTTACTACAGGGCATAAAATAGTACCTACTTCCTTGGTTGTCATGAGGATGAAATAAGCTAATTCATGTAAAGTGCTGCGAAAGCACCTGGCACTTAACAGTTATTTGAGTTCTATGCGAAAGGTCCTTTTGTAAGACCTTTATATGAATTACTATTATTTCCTTTATATAACTGAGGAAACTGAGGCACAGGGTGATTAGGTAACTAGCACAAGGTCACTCAGCTAGGAAGGGGCAGAATCAGGATTTGAACACAGCCTGATTCTAGAGCCTGTGCTTCAACTATACTGTCTCTTGTGGTTTACAGTAAGTACTTGATAAATGCTAAGCGATTATTTCTCCCTGAAGTTTAATGTGCAACTTCCAAGAAACACATCTTCTATATGAAGTGAAGTATTAGTGTAAATAAAATTTCCATCACACTGGAATTCATGAATTTTGAATCTATGATGCTTTGGGTCTAGTTAGGGATAATTTGGCCTAGTTATTAACTATAGAATAGGGTTTTGGTAAGCAAATTAATACTGTGAACTGAGCATGACAACTTTAATATAAACTTCTCAAGCATTTCCTACATTAATCAGCAAATGATGCTGATAATTATAAAAATACTGAATTCAATGCAGCAGGTATAACAATAATAATTACTATTTACTGAGCATTTGCTATTCATTTAATAAATATTACTGATTGCCTACTCTGTGTCAGAAACTGTTTGGACACCAGAGGCAAAGCAGTGAATAAATTCCCAAACTTCCTCAAGTTAGTAGGGGAAGAGAAATTAATAAGTAAATGTATAGTATATTAGGTGCTAATACACCAATACCTAAGATTAAAAAAACATGCTAACAAGTACAAAGAAGAGAACATTTTAGAGAGGATAGATAGGCAAGCTTTCCCGCCCTGAGAAGGTCACATCTGAGTGAAGACGTGAAGGAGGTCAGAGAGTGCGCCCTGTGGCTATCGTGGACGTCACCGAAAATAGCCTGCGGGCAGCGAACAGCAAGTGCAAACACTTTGGGGCAGGAGTGTGCCTGGTATTCTATGTTCTATGTTCTAGGCCCTGTGCTAAGTGCTTAAATGTATTTTTATTAAGTTTTAAAATTGAGTTGACATGTTGCTTGGCTTATGAGGTACACATTTTATATATCCTAATTTTATATTTAATTATGAGGAAAAATAAAGCATAGAGAAGATAAACAAGCAGCCTAAAGCCATACAGCTAGTAAGTGGCAAACCCAGGATTTAACTCAGGTTGACTTTAAAGCTATGCACCTGACCACCTCATAATTAAAACTCTATTTCTTTAGCCTGTAATTGCCATTTGTAACTATTCCATCCATTTCTTTTCAATCTCTGTGTTTCTGTAACTTTTTTTCCTTTTATTTCGGTAAATGTGTTGAAAAGACTATTTTAAGAATCCCTGGAAGGGCCGGCCCTGTGGCCGAGTGGTTAAGTTTGCACGCTCCGCTTCGGCGGCCCAGGGTTTCACCAGTTTGGATCCTGGGCGCAGACATGGCACCACTCGCCAGGCCATGTTGAGGGCAGCATCCCACATGCCACAACTAGAAGGACCCACAACTAAAATATACAGCTATGTACTGGGAGGATTCTGGGAGAAAAAGCACACACACACCCCCACAAAAGAATCCCTGGAAAGTCAGTCTGTAAGTTACCCAAGACTCCATGACCTTTTCTTGCCAAATGATGGGTGACAGAACCTATGTTCCCTCCCTGCTCTGCCTCCCAACAAACATTCTCCAGCCCAGTAAAGACAGTATAAGAGGAACTGAAGAAGAAACGAAAAAGCATTTGGAAATATTTGGGAACTGGTATTATACACAAACACATACCTGATAATCACTCACTCATTTATATGGTTAATGTCTTTCAATCACCAGGGAGAGAAAGAATTTTTTTTTACTGCATCAGAAAGCAGACATAGCTCAATTATCTGTTCTGTTCATGGAGTCTCAAAATGCTGTCAGGGTCACTGCAATGTGAGAAGACTGGGCTTTTGTACACATAAAAGAACAACTGGTTTGGGTTTTCTTCTGGTAACTAAGGAGTGAGCTGGCTCTTGGGAATTGTGAGCCAGATAATACTTGCTGTTGATGGTGCTAACAACAATAAATAGAAGTATCATTATAGGGATTGGAATGCGGATGGGCAAAGCACCCTGTGAAACAAACAAAAACACACATGGAAGAAACCTGCCACGTGCTAACAGTACCAGCTCCATATTATCACTCCACCACAGCCACCCATGATTGTTAGGATGCAAAGGGGAAAAAGTTTCTTCCTCTCACGTTTTTCTACGGAAAACAACTTTGCTCCCAAAGCTGCACATGCAACAGTGCTTCTCTGATTAAGTAAAAGTGAAGAAGGGTGTGAGGAAGTCTAGTGACAATTCACAATAGAGACTGAAAACTCAAGTCAGTCTACATAAATCTCCCTTTGGATTTTCTGTCCACCATTCAGAAAACTTTTCTACTATGTATGTTACAATGAAAATTTGCTCTTTTTTGAGAACTCTGTTAAGAATCTGACCACATTTCCAAGCATCCCTCTCCGAAGTGTTTACCTTCCAGTACCTGGATGAACAAATTACTGGTCCCACTATCCTTCATACCACAATCTTTTCCAAATTACTTTTTGTAATACAGCGGCCATATACAGGCTACTGGAGCAAGCAGTGAGCTTTAGCTAACAACACAAAATAACTATAGAATAACACCACCTGAAAGGATACCAAACATTTATACTTAATGGGTAAGTTACATGAATTGTACTCATCTTTTCTACTTCCCATTTGAAACTTGTTCTAAAAAAGAAAGAACGCAATATAACTTGCAACAAATAAATGTAGAAATTTAAGAATGAAATCTTATTTGTGAAATATTTAAATGTCTATAAGAATTTTTCAACCCTAAAACAAGGGTTTTTTTTAAAGAAAAAACTCAAACGAGTTTCTGAGAGAGATCACGGAAGTGGAAACACTTGCACTTTCTGATGAATGCTTGTTATAAAATCAAGGTGTGGTCTACGACAAAGGTCCCATATGTTATTCTATTAGGACGCTGAAAACCAGCCCTTGCTCTTCCCAGCTGTGCAACAGAAGAAGATCAAAGCAACTGAGTCCAAGGCAGCTGCCCCAGGGATGGGG